TTTCCTGTTCAGGCTTCTTTGCTTCTCAGCTGTCTACAATAGTGTCCTTGTTTGTGTTTTCCGGCTAAACACAAAAGGCTGGGTTTTAGTTATTCTGGGCCTGAGTAGTTTTATACCACAAATTTGAAAAGTCTTGCATGGCTTCTGAAGTCTGATAAAATACTTGTGTTGTCCCATTTGCTTTTTTAAACCACTGTAGAAATTGTAGATACTTAGTCAAGATCCAGAGGATTGGGGAGAACTAGAATTCAGTTCTGTAAATTTAAATTTGAGTTAAACAGAAGTTCATTGTTTCTGTTAATATTTTTAATGCATCACAGTGTTAGGAGGACTAGCAATATTTAGTTTTTAACCGCAACATATTTCTACTCCTTTTTCTTCCATTTTTGACACAGACTCCGCTTTTTCAGGGAGGCAAGCCCAGTATGAAGCAGAGGACCGAATTAAGATTTTTCCTAAAGCCTGCAGTAAACATAATAATGTCTCTGCATTTTGTGATACAGTGCAGTAGCATTTCAAAAGAAAAGCTTAGTCATCTGGACCACATCAAGATGATAGATAATGATATATGCTGTACTTCATTCTACTTCCAGTAATTCTCTTTCCTCACCCCATTGCTCCGTCAAACTCAGATGCATAGTAACAGCAGCAAGTGTTCACGACAGCTATATTGTAAAACATATATATTTTAAAAGTGCTGTTTCTTTCATAGCATGTACAAGACACTGGTTGCTTCTCAGCTTCACCGAGTGCTTGCTGTTTGTTTGTCTCTAGTTATCTGCTGCATTCTCATTCTGTAATACCCTCAGGAGCAGCCAGACTGTAATGGCATATCATGTAGCTGTAGAGATACTGTAGCACACTCACTTCTCCTAATCCCAAACTACTGTTATCTTTTTTCCCAATTTTTAGTTCTTCCTTTCTGTGCCCAATTAGAACATCACTTTGTAGGTAATCCAAAAGCTGCTGTCATGAGAAGAAGAATCTTTTCAGAACATCCTGCTCAGTGTTTACTTCTTAAGGTTTGTTAACATATATGTCCTGTGTCAAGACATTTTTCATGTCAAATAGAATAGACGTAGATGTCTTGAAAGGAAGAATAACCACCCCCCAAAGGCCTACATGTAGGTTATAAAAGGGTTTTGCAGTGGCTTCTAAGGTTTAGTACAATATGTGAAGGCAGTAGCTAATGCCATTTGAATATTCATTTTGTTGTATGAAGATGGTAATTTAGATTTTTCTTAAATTAGTTTTTCATTTTGTAAGCTCTTGAAAGACTCATTCATTGGAATAGTGCTGGGCTTAGATAATGGCTACTCAAATGGGATCTCTTTTTGAGTTGCTGCAGTTTCAACTGTTCCTTTTCTGGCAGACACTTCTGCTTCTTGTTTCTGAAGGTACTGCGTATGTGCTAAATTGTGGCCATTACAGAAGTTACTAGCCAGCCCTGTAGTGTCTTGTTCATTCTTAGCCCATGCACCTGACTACTGTATTAAATTTCCTTTTATATTACCCGCTTCACATTGGGAGTTCCTAAAAACCCAAAGCGTGATGTTCTCATGGCAGGATGCTCTGCAGCTCACCCTGTCTGTGTTCCTTTCTGCTTGACTTCTGCGCGTGCTCACAGCAAATGTCCCGAGAAAGGCAGCATCAGTCTTCCCAGGGGTTTTGCGGTGTGCTCGATACAGCTATGAAATAATTAACTTGACTTTTCCAGGGTCAGGTTTTTGATATGGGCCAGCCGTCTAAAATCACGCTATTGTAACAGATGAGGTTCTTCAAATAGTTCAGAATTCTAAAATTGTCAGGCATCAGCTTTTTTTCTTTAAAAATATTTAGATATCTTTTACTTGAGCTGTGGGAGTATTTAGGATTTAATCAGTTTCTAATCCTAGAAGTTGCAGAAGTGCTCAGGAGGCTGCAGAATAGCAAAAGCAAAACTTCCGTATGTGCTGGAATAATTGGAGTTCATCCGTTTTTCTTGGTAAAGCATTTTAAGGAGAAAACTTCTGTACAGTATGATTTGTTTAATTGGCCTTTTTTGTGTGTTTATAAAGAAGACAAGATCCTATAAACTTTGCATCCTTTAATCCTGGACTCTGTTTCTTCACTGAAACTAGTTCAGTGATTAGGGGAACCTAGTCTACAAGACAGGCAGTTACTTTTCATGTTTCAATAAGAGTTCTGCAAACCTGTGGTTTTCTGTGTGTAGTCACAGTTAGCCCTACCTGCACTATTTCAATTGTAGTGGATTTTGCACTGATTCTAGAAGTTTGTCATCAGTTGTGTTTTAAAGAACAGAAGAAGGCAGCCCAGATGCAGAGAACGACCTGTGACACTGGGCTTATTCTAGACCCATATGCCCAGGAGGCTGTTTGGTCTTTATGTGACATAGTCTGCAGTTGTACAAAGTTTGTAGGGCTTGATATGAAGAATAAAAAAAAACCCTGAACGTCGTTAGATTTAGAGCATACACCTTTAACAAAAATTTCATTCCCGAGTCACACTTCAGTAATGAAGTACTTGGCTGGTCTACAAGTACTGCCTCCTGCTCATTAAGCACTTTGGAAAACGTCTTAGTAAAGCTGCAGAAATTGGTGTGTGGGTTTCTTCTAAGTATTCACTTTCATTGCTAAACAATTGTGGAATATTTCATACAGCTCGTCTTGTGTGAACAGGTAAGGTGTAGAACCAAATGTAGTACTTACTGCCATGAAGCAAGTAGGTTTCTAGTGTTTGTGTAGAATCTGTGTGATGACCTTTCTTGGAAAGTGTTTTTGATTAACAAATACAGAATTCTAGAAATACAGTTTTCAAACACCTATGAAATTTCTTTTAAGTATTTGGCCTATTTTGGATGTTAATTTTTGCCTTCATCTTACAGGTAATGTTTGAGACATACCAGTTTTCTGGGGTGTATGTAGCCATTCAGGCTGTTCTTACTTTGTATGCTCAAGGTAGGCAAAGATAACTTAAAATCCATTTAGTTTATAAATGTGTTGCTGAGCGAAAGTACTAATATGGTATTAATGGGTCTTGGGCTTAATTCAGCACTATTGTAAGTAAGCTCAGCTCTGACTTAATGGACTTGCTTTTTGTTTTGAGGAACTATTGATAGGTACCGCTGTCAGTGTTACTTTCATGAGCCAACTGTGGAGACACGCTTGTAAATGCAAAAACCTGGTTTATCGAAACTGTCATTGTTTCAGGGTGTAGTTATTCAGCATCAAGCCTTTGATTTTCTGATAAAGGAAACATTTATTACCATAAGTGAATTTGGCGATGATGACTAGGTGACTTTTGCACTATTTTCAGTTTAAAAAAGAAGTTGATTCTTTTTCTGTATATAGACTAGAATAAATGATGCTCAGCCTGAGGAGAAACTTACGGATTCACTGAATTCAATAGAAATTCTACAATTGACTGCAATCCAGCTAGGATTTTAAGTTGTTACTCAAGGATATCAGTTCTAATAACATGACTCCTTACATCTGTTTACTAGTGGCTTGGTGTATTTAGCTGTCACATAGCAGGACATAAATATCCTTGTCCATTAACATGTCACCATAGTTCCTATGTCCAAGAGCAAAAGTGATAGGGTACCGGAAGGGTGGTTCTGTTACACAAGTCATTAAAACCAGTTGAACCAAAACCTCTTTTGCAGACCTGTATATTAATTTTATTTGCTGCAATCTGTGCTGTTACTCTTTTCCCATCCCCCACCCCCCCTTTGTTTTTTCTTTGGTTTGATTCCTTATAAGTAGTTAATTGACTAACATACGCGGTCTTAAATTCTGCTGTAATTGTATGTGTATTTTACTGTATAGTGCTCAATTACTTTGTGAATAACAAAATGTGAAACAACTTAGAGCAGTCCACAGTGTTTCCACATATTATCATGTAAAACAAAGTTCAAGACTTTCTAAGGTATAAGAAACAAGTGGTTCATAGATAGAATGTTTGCTTTTGAAAATAAAAAAAGCCCTTTAAAATCCTGCTTATTTATATGACATTAAAGATTAAAGTAGTGGCTAAAATCACATACAGAGACGTGCCTCATTTCAGTGCACCGCATTTTGTTGCTGCTGTTAAAACTCTTTTAAGACTAATTGTTGCTTTTACCTGGAATTCTGTGTGCTCATGTGCCTTTTAAAGGCAAAGGGGTTTATATATCAAAACCTAGTTCTAATTAGGAAATTCTTTAGCAATTCCTCAGAACAGTCTTTTGGAGTTAGGTGTATTACCTTGTGACTGACTGTTTCCTTCCTTACTGTGTGTGTCCAATTGCAAGACTTGTGTTTGCGTAGCAGTTATTCCAGTTCACTGATAAATCTGAAGATGTGATCACACAAGTGAACAATGGCGTGTTCTTTGGTTCATTTGAGGCAAATAACCAATTTGTTTGCCTTCTGTTTACAAAGCTTGAGCAAATTACAGTAGCCGACCCAATGCACCTTGCCATTACATATTAAATGTTTCTTCGTTATTTTAAGGTCTCCCCTTAAAATATATTTTCTTGCTTTAGGTAGCTTGTGAGAAACTATAAAACTGTTTTCTAATCAACTTTCACCATTAATTCTGCTTCTTATTTATTTTGTTAGTGAAGTATAGAAACTTCTGTTTCTACATGCTTATGATATCTCAGTTTTGTACACCTTAGAATTTAATGGTTTTATGGTAAACTTTTTCCACCAGAGTTAATTTCTTTAGTCTATGAAGGTGGATCTGATTTAGCCTAATGCTATTTCTGTGGGGAAAAAAACAGATGTGCTGTATAGTCCAAATATTCTCTACTTTATGAAAGCATTGTTTTGTTTTTTGAATACCAGTCAAAATCAACAAGTCCTAATAGTTGTAATAAGGTAAACTTGTGGCCTGAATACCTCTAGGTTTCTTCATATTTGAAAAATTAATATAAGGTTGCACATATACAGCTGAATCTGAAGAGGAATTTGTGCCCCAACAAGCATTTAATGATCTTAGATATTCTCTTTAATTATAAAGAGTGCAACTTAAGATGTCAAAACACCAGGCAAAATTGTGAATGGTAGAGTTATGAGCATCGAGGAAGAAGTAGAGGTAATACTTTTAAAAAACATGTATGAAAGCATTTGTGACCATGAAAACCTTAAGTTTAAAATGCAGCTGAATGAACTGAATTTTAAATTGTGAGTACTTCTCCTAAAATGGTGACTGGGGGAGCAGAGGTTGTGTTAAGATTACAATGAAAAATCCTACCTTAAACTTGCTACTGTTCTGCTCTATTTATGAAGGTGCTAATAAAAGTTGTACCAACCCCCACCCCCATTCTTTCAGGTTTGTTGACTGGTGTTGTTGTGGACTCTGGAGATGGCGTAACTCATATTTGCCCAGTTTATGAAGGTTTCTCTCTCCCTCATCTCACCAGACGGTTAGATATCGCTGGGAGGGATATCACTAGGTACCTCATTAAGGTAAGCTGGAAAGAATTTTTAAAGTTGAAGCTGGTATCTGCAGTCCATTGGTTCAACTTAAAACCTTGATAGCAAGAAACCAGTATACGTTTTCTCTTTATTGTTCATATGTTAATTACATAAAGAACTGCTGTATTCTCTGTACTGCTTCTGTCTATCCTTACTATGTTTCCTCATCTAAGTTGCATGTGATATTCTTGATATTATTCAGAGACTTCACATTTTCTTAGTGACAGTCTTGTAGCAAGGGATTTTATTCTGCATTTGGGAAGGAAAACCTCAAAAGTTGACTTTCTTGATACATAAAATGAAAACAAAACTGTATTCTATCAGTTCTGCTCATCTATTTTCAGAAAGGCTTTTTCTTACAGTGTGGAAAATAGCATAGTGATTCTTCCCTGATTATTTAAGAAGACTATGTTTTATAGACTATTTGTTTGGGGTTTTTAAATATCAGCAACATTCTGGATTGACAAATCTTATGGTTAAACTGGAATACTGGCGTGTTCAGAAGTGAAGTCCAAAACATTAAGAATTATTTTGGCTATGTTTCACTTGTCTTTGTAATGGTTATACTGAAAGATGTAATGGCAAAAAAATTTCCCACTTGGAGTAATGCTGCTGCTATTCTACTTTTCTGGTAATAATGGATACATTGCGACAGATTTGACTTAATAATAAATTTGCAGTTAAAAAAGGGAGACTTTTAAAGATAAGTGAACGTACTCATCTACTGATAAAGAGATCTGGACTGTTCCTCTCATTTACTGCTAACCTGATATGTTCCCTGTAGCTCCTCTTATTGCGAGGATATGCTTTCAACCATTCTGCTGATTTTGAGACTGTTCGCATGATCAAGGAAAAGCTATGCTATGTGGGATACAACATTGAACAGGAGCAGAAACTGGCATTAGAGACCACAGTACTAGTTGAATCCTACACGGTGAGTGTTTTGAGACAGCTTTTCTTGTCCTGAACTTCATAGGTTTAAATTCAGGTAGCATTTAGCTTTGATTCCTTCTAAATTTTTCTTGGCAGTAGCTCACTTCCGAGACATAGGAGTCTGTAGAATCACATTACTTGGTTCTGGGAAAACTTTTTAAACCCTTTTTTTTTTCTTCTTTTCTTTTTTTTTCTTTTTTGCTTTTCCTTTTCAGATTTTCCATAAGACTTTGTACTCAATTTTGTCATGGTAGATCATTGAAATTTGAATGTTGTAGTACAGGAACTTGTAGAGAAAGTGGACTTACTCTAGCATGTCAGCTTGTTTCAGCTTCATCCATCTAGCAGTAACATGAATGAGACTGATATCTGGTGACAGGAATGGTAAACTTGGTCTTAGTGGAAGCTTCCTGTCATCACACATGGAAAAACAGAACTTGCAGGAAAGCATAACTCTTGCTGCAAGATCATCTTTTAAATCGATATTAGGAGCTGTATTGCAAGGAAATGTTTGCTATGTCAGTATCGATGTATCTGGTCCCTGATGTCTTGAAGTAAATTGCATAACGGTTGAAGAATTTGTGTCGTCTTTTCAGTAGTACTGAATGACTTCTTGCAGTGGTGACAATTATCAACAATTTCCTGTTTTAAAACATTAGGGAACAATGTAGGTCATTTCCTCTTGGTTTGTTTAGTATCCAAATGGCTAAAAGTAGTCTTCTAAGTCGTGTTTTTTCTTCACTAGCTCCCAGATGGCAGGATTATCAAAGTTGGTGGAGAACGGTTTGAGGCACCAGAGGCTCTCTTCCAGCCTCACTTAATCAACGTAGAGGGGGTTGGTGTGGCTGAATTGCTGTTTAACACCATCCAGGCTGCTGACATTGATACCAGGTAAGAGCAGAACACTTAAAATCCTCTGTCAGGGTGCAGGAGTGATGTGAGAACTGCATTTAAACAAAGTAACAGCTTTTGCTTTAGACACTAATATGTGCGCTGCTGGGGGAGGGTGTATACTGGGAGTGGGGCTTAGTCTGAGATCTTGGAGCTTAATGGGTTGTCTTGACTATTTTGGTACAAACGAGCAAGGGTAAAATCTTGAAAGCACAGTATTTTTTTTTTTTTTTTTTTTACTGCTGCTTTCTGGGATGCCTGGAAAAGCATGAGCAACTTGTGCAACATCTGTCTTCGTGTAGTGATTGGTTTTTAGATTTGTATTTACTCCCCTGTGTGTATTTGTACTACGGAGTATACTATACGACACTAGAAAGACTATTTTTTTGGGGCAGGTCTGAATTCTACAAGCACATTGTGCTGTCTGGAGGGTCCACCATGTACCCGGGGCTGCCTTCGCGACTGGAGCGGGAACTTAAACAGCTCTACCTGGAACGAGTTCTGAAAGGAGATGTGGAAAAACTCTCGGTAGGTACCGAGTCGCTGCTTTATTTGTGTGGGGCCGAGGTTTATCCTAAATCCCCACTAGAGGGAACCAAGTAGTCATAAATGACGGAAGCTGTGGGTGGCCCTCCGTGCAACGTGCAAAATTGCTGCCTCTCGGTTCTTCACACCCCTGCGTTTCGTATAGGTGGCTCGTGTGTATATACTTGCAATAAAGCCACCTTCTAGTCCACGCTAATAGCAAGTAATTCCTGAAGTCTTGGGTTAGTTTGAATGTGAAATGGGCTGATAGATGCTAGGGCGCAACTTGTAGTGTAGGTTAAATGAAGCTAATGAGTTTTTGTGCCTTGAAGTCATCACTGAGCAAAATTTTTTTTTTTCTTTAAATATCTGAAATTTTTGGTTCATGCTATAAGTGAAATACTCAAAAGTAAGAGGCTAGGGTTCTCATACACCTTCAAGTGGAATAAGGTTCCCTTGTTCATTGGTTACTGTGATAAGCAGGCAACAGCCACACATGTTACAGAGGTAACACTGCATTATAACCCTATCTGCTTTTCAAGGAGGAGATATTTACAGAGAAAATTCCTTTGAGTGGAGTTTCTAAGGTTGAACTTCCCTAGTTCTTAATACAGTGTTCTCTAAAGATCTTTTGCAGCTATGTGGAATGACTCAATTGTACACAGTGTTTCAAGTCTAAGACAGTATTTCACACATAGTTTTGACTGTACTTATTTTTGCTCTTGAAGTTAGAGCTTTAGCATCGAAGAATTTAAGGGAATATTAATTAGCTAAGCTGGTCTGGATTGTGTAAATTTAAAATCTGTTCCATCTGCACTTCTAAAACTTGGTATAATTCTAAAATATTTTGTGATTTGATGATCTGGTAACTTCTGATAATTTTAGCCATCGAAGCTTAGGAAGCATTTCACTCTTTACTGTGTTCATGAAATGCAAAAATACGGTCTTTAATTTTGTGTTCTGACTCCTGGGCTTTTTGTGGATACACTAAAAGTATAATTTTGGGGAAAGTGTCAATAGCTGTCTCTAATTTCCAGTGCAAAGTAGTTATTTTACTTTGGTTGCGCAAGCTGGAAGCTCACGCAGAGTGCTCTATGCTAGCATTTCAATTTTTTGGTTGCATTTTTCTCACTAAACAGTTTCCATTTCATTGTTCTGGTGGAAAGCACAATTTTATTTTGAAAGGCTTTGTTTCAAGAATCCTAGTTACAGTTTCTTTTCTTTTTCTTAGAAATTTAAGATCCGAATTGAAGATCCACCTCGTCGAAAGCACATGGTGTTTTTGGGTGGCGCCGTTCTAGCAGACATCATGAAAGACAAAGACAACTTCTGGATGACCCGACAAGAATACCAAGAAAAGGGAGTGCGTGTGCTGGAAAAGCTTGGTGTGACTGTTCGATAAATCCCAAAGCTTGTTCCCATCACATGTCTAAAGCTTTTTTCCTTTCATTGCCAATCTCTGAACTCACTCAGCTACATGCTATGGAAAGGCCTGTCTGTGGCCTTTTGACCCAAAGGTCAGGTTTTGTTCTGGTTTCTTGGGGTAGCTTTTGTTAAATGTTTCTTAATGTGGCTAAATTTGACTATTAAATTTTGACCACTTCCCTGCAAACAAAACAGAGCAAGAGCAGCCTGTCTACTTCATTGTTCCTTCCCGGTAGGCAATTGGGTAATTCTGGTAGGCTTTTTCTTCTGGGTTTATTGCTGTAGTACTGCTAGCTTTTGTCTCTAGTTCACAAGGGGTGGTGTGCCTTTTTTAGCATAAGAAAACGTTTAAACGGGAGTTTTTGCTATTGGATCATTGTGGTGGTTATCTTTGCATCTTTTTGCTTCTCTCTACGTGAAGATTATAATTTTTTTTTTTCCTTTCCTGCAATTAGGAATTTTCATTAAACATTGTTAGAAACTAGTTTAGCTGGAATGGCTTTAACACACTGTTTCAATGTAACGTGGTTCCATATGCACTGCTGCCTAAACTGGCTTCTGAGGTGGTTTATCCTTAAAGGTGGTGGTGGGGCTTTCATACTATATTTCTCTAAGTGGGCATGTACACAGTTGCCACAAACAGAGAAACACCTGATACTCTGGCAAATGTAAATTTGTGGCCTTAGGTGTCTTTTTCTGGAGGAAGGAGACAGGTTTGAGCTGTGTTGCTTTTCTGTTAAGGGACAGCTGGGGGTCAGTCTGACCAAAAATGCCTCTTTTTATAGCTCAATTTTGGTACTGTGTTGTCTCAGCATAGGGAGCAAGAATGTTAAATTAGCTATACTGTAATTGTTGAGAAACTTAGATATGCTGAGACAGGAGCCTCTAAACTTCTGAAGAGATTTAATGCTTTCAGAAATGCTTGTGAAAACTGTAACTATAGATATTAAAACCCCCAAAATTAAGTTTTAAAAGTCTGATGTTTTAAGTGCTTGTATGTACATCAGAAGCACTTCCATTAAACTTTACAAGTATATTAAACTAGTGCCAAGTAGTTACTGCAAATGAGTATTTCAATGACCAGTGTTTATTGCAGCAAGCAGATATTTATAAACAACCACTGGCAGTAGGTTATAAAGAATGACCCATATTTGTTCCAGTTAAAAATAACATTGGAGTATGAGATGATGTTCATTGGTAAATATCCACAATTCATTTTGTCCAGTCTTGATTTTTGATACTTAACATGGGATGGGGAAGGAAGTGAAAACCAGTGATGAAAGTGCTGTTTCCAGAAAGTACATTAAAGCTGAGTTGTTCTGAAAAATGGAAGTTGTCACTAGTAATTATCAGCCATCTTCTCTGAGTATAGTTGCCTGTATTTTCTTCCTACTAGCAGACTGGTAACTGTCTTTGCAATAAAATCTGCCTTACATAAAGCATAGCAAAAACTGCTTCCATACGAATGCCAGTTAGACTTACTTCTACTTTGCTTTTCATGGAAATATTATTATCTCTTCTTACTGGTTTTCCAAGCCTACCATAACATTTAAGCCTAAGGAAGTTAAGATCTGCTTTTGACTTCCAAACCTTGGAATGTACAAGATATGCTTTCATATATTTGCCATTTGTCTACATCTTTACATTAATAATTGACCCCAGGAACATGGAAATACTAAACTCCCTTGGATTCTGAAAATTTGCTTTCTAAATCGAGCAGACAGCTTCCTTCTGGCTGAGCGAGCCAAACAGGCAGAAACCATGTCTGCATTTCTTTAATAACAAGACAGTCGCTATAGTATTGCTAGTAATGACCATTTAATTATAGGTGGGTGGGGTTTTTTGCAGCTATATTTACTCTTAACTTGAACAATATGAATTTACAGGCATGCCGGTCATGCCTCAGTGCATGCACTTAAGCGGTTACTAGATTTTTGGGGACGTGAATGTAAGGGGTAGTCTTCTGAACATTTAATACACAAGATTTAAAAATGCTGTGGGCTTGCTTTAGAGCTATGGTTTCTCATGTGACTGTCTCTGGGCTCTTCGGACAGTGTTGAGAATCATGGAAATAAACCAAAGAATGACTTAAAAACCTTTTTTGAATGACAATCTGTCATGTGATTTTTTTCGAAGCTAGACCTTGACCCTGCAACCCCTTTTCTAAACCATCTTCTCCCCTGTTCATTGGCTTCGGTTAGATACGTGCATGTTTGAGTAAAGGTTTTGGAATTTGGCCCTTTCACTAGAGAACTTCACAGCACCGTGAGTAATAAATGTCAGTTGATTGTGCAGAATCTTGGGTTTCCATGGAAACCACGTATGTATTAAAAAACAAAAAAAAGCAACTAGCATTTTAAATTACACCTGTGGTGGATTCAGAGGAATGCATATGTAATCCAAATACTGAATGGGGTGTTCCAGTTGTGCTCGGTGTGGTTCTCCATGTGTGCGTGTGCACACACGAGAGAATGTGTGTGTGTGTGCTCTCAGCTGACAGCTTCAATATTGCCATGAAAGCAATCTGGTTTTAAAGTTTTTCTTGAAGACCAAATAACTTGAGTTGTATTTACAATATGCTTCAGCTCCTATAAAATTAGAATAGAAAATGCCGCATCAGTTGTAAGTTTTTTGGGAACATCCTATTTTTAATGTTAAGCTGCTTCAAACCTCCCCCCCCTCCCCCAGTGTTCTAGGATGTTAACCGATGTAACACAAATGGCTTTTTATACAGTTCTGAATAATGTTAACACACAACACTGGTTGAGACCATGAATGGAAATAAACATCTATTTAAATTGACAGGTCTTTTCAATACAAAAATAAAATCGGATTTTTTTCAAAGTAGATTATGTTTGCTTTGTTTCCTTTGGGAAATCACAGTTCTGTCAGTTTTTCTCTAACTTAACTCCCATCACAAAACTATCATGAGCTGCTTATGCTGAGGAAATCTGACATGGCAAAATAACGTGTTCCCTGTTGATTGCTGTCGTAGAGTGAGAAAAGCACCCCCACTCCATTCTCTAGCCAAGACTTCAACTCCCTCCATCCTAGTTTCTTTAAAAAGCAAATAAAATCCTTATCCTTGGACAGGAATCTTTTTTTAGTTCAAGCTCTATGCTCAGTACTGCAAAATGGGAAGAGCCCTCAACTTGTATTGACTTCAGCATCCCTGGCTAAGCTCAGAAGCCACATCGCAATGCTCTGTTTAGGAAAAATCTCCTTGGCATTGTGACCTCCTGTGCTACTTCACCTGCATCCCTCATTTTAACTGATCGAAGAACTGTATGAGGGGTTAACGTGTAGCATTTAGAAAGATGCACTGGTTTGAAGCAGCTCTTGCACCTGAAATTTTGTAGTTCTCAACTTGCTGTGTATATTAGTGGCTGGCCTCCTATCATGAAGCATTTATCTGGCTTTTGAAATGAGCTCAGCCAGCTCATCGTACATGCTGTTCTGTATGTATGTTCCCCAGGCATCATGTCCCCAGTAGGATAATGGCTTTGGTTTTCTTAGAGTGAATCAGTATGTGCAGTTTGGCCCTGGGTGCGTCTGGCTCAGTGGCTATGCCAAATGCGTGCCAGCTTAGATACAGGTAGACAGGATTTTAATAGCAAAAAAATAAAATAAAGCCCCTGATCCAAATCTTTATTCTGTCACTGTGCATTCTTAGGGGGAAAAAAAAAAAAATCAGACTTTACCTCTGCTTAGTAATAATTCATGTTCCCCACTTCCTCCCCTTTGGCTTACTTTGCCTGACATGGCTTTTGTGTGGAAAGGACTAAATACAGCTCGGTCGACATTTGCTAGTCAGCTTTTTCAATAGTGAATTCCTCCCTGCGGGCACTTCATCTATTTTCCACAAACAAGCTTCATTAGCTGTTTCAATACTGTGAAAAATCAAGTTTGGGGTTTTTTGTTGTTTTGATTTTTTTGTTGGTGTGTTGTGTTTTGGGTTTTTTTTTAAATCCAGACATATCTCTTCCTGTGTTCTAGCAACCAGGAGAACGGTGTTAGAAAAAATTGGTTTGGACCTTTTCAGCAAATATGAAAAATCTAAACTATAATTTTGCTTTATTTGAGCCCTGCCATGTGATACTTGTTCCTCCCTAATGGGTTGGTTTGTTGTCCTGGTGGTATAAGCCACTGTCACTTTGCCATTATAGGCCTCAAGAAAAAAAAACCCAAAACTTCCATTGCTAATTTTGCCTCTTACCTTCACTGCATTACAACATTAAGGTCAGCTTTAAGTAATATCATCCAGGTAAATAGCTTACCTTTCTGTAAGCTGTTGGTGCAGCCTGTTGTCAGAGCTAACAACTGCATAAAACAAGATCGCAGTGCACATCTGCTTATTGCCTAGACAGCTGGAGAAGGGCTTCTTACCTTCCTTGTGCCTTGTTCTGAGTTCTGCTCTGGTGCTGCTGAAACGAGGAGAAGTTCAGGGAGGAGAGGAAGTGTGGGGCTTTGCTTCTCAGTTGGGTTTTTTTTCCCCCCCCCTTTGAAAGCAATTCCTTAACATTAAAGATTAAGGAAACAGTTTCTGTTCTGGGTGATGAGTAAAGCATATTAAGAGTCTTAGCAGACACTTGGGATGATGCTAAGGGGCATCTTCCAACTGCAGAACTTGTGTTCATTCCCATACCTTTTTTTTAAAAAAAAAAAAAAATAATCTCTGTTCCCCAAAGCCTAGGAATGGTAATTAAATTGTAGCTGCAGGAATAATGACAGATACGGGGCCCCTTGCCTACACCTTTTCATCACCGCGCCCATCTCCCATCTGTTTTTTGTTTGCCCTAAAGCTTAAGTGGTTTCAAGATCCTCCTCTTGCACGCATGTTCTCACCATGTGCCCATTTTAAATCTCTCCAGGTATTTTAACGAATTAATTAATTGCCAGCTGCTGACCTCAACACAAGTACATCCTGTAAGTCCTGACTTGCATCAGGCGCTTTTCTTAGCACAGCAGCCCTTCTGGGGGCTGCTCCAAATCTAAACCTTTGCGTTGTCCAATAACTTTCCATTCTAAACCACTCTGTGTAACCCTGATGTTGGCTTTCCCTGCCAAAGCAGGAAAGGCAAGGATGGCATTAAGGACATGAAAGGCAGTATTTCGGGAAGCACCCAACCACATAATCTCCTTGGAATATTTTAGGGTTTTCCCATTGTAGTGGGTATCAACACGACTTCAAACTACCATGGGGCAAGTCCAGTAAGAGCAGGTGGGATTTACATTAGCACCTGTAATACTGGTAGATTGTCCCCTCTAAGATAAACTCTTCTCGTAACGGGGGTGCTAGTGCTTCCCATAGCGTTACTGGGTAATAACCTGCAACACGAGCCTTTGAAATGTGGTCAGTGCTGGAATCCATGTAGTACCATGTGAGAACAAAACGCTGTAACGATAATTGCTCATTATCTAATTATACAAGAACTTACAGCCCTGGAGGGTGAACAACTAATTAAATGGTTATCCACTTTTAAAATGGCAACAAAGAAATGAGGAATATTCATTCTTCTGGCTCTTGTTCCTGCTATTACTGTCAGCAAAGTCACGTGTTCCTTGAAAGGTGAATGGGGCAGTCCAGGTCGGACAGAGCTCTCCCCATCTGGATGCTCTGAATGCTGCAAGGGGCTACTGAGGCAGGGAACTTGGTTTTAGGAGAGTAGACTGCTTACTCAAAAGCAACTCAACTTTCAAGCTGCAACTCAAAATTAAAGAGGATTGACTGACCCAGGTTATCCAGGAAGGCAGCCGATGCTGGCCTTCAGAGCAGTATGGGCCACTTTTTACATTCAAGGATTTGCTTGTGCAGAATTTTAAAGAGAATGTATCTGGAGCACTTTGTCTCTTGGTATGGGTGCAATGTGCTGGGACAGGCCTTGGTTTTACCCCATGTTGGGGCATGCTGTTACCATCTAGAAAGAGAGCTGCCTGTCAAAAAAAAGCAGCGGCATTTCTCTGTATTACAGACTCTGCAGCTTTTGCACCAGCAGTAGTAGAGCGCTGTAAAACTCAGGATGAGTGCTGAATCCACCAGTCATTAGCACCCTAGGCTCTAATTTAACTTTCCCAAAATTACCAGACAGCTTCTACCTCATCTCAAGGCACATGACTTCCTTCAGAGCCCTCATTCCTGCCTCTCAGCATTTGTGCACTATTGTCCCACTTGCATAAATACCAAGCACCTCACTGCTTAAACCAGAGTCCTCCAAATACAAGGGATAGGCCAGCCTTTTCAGAGCAGAGCAAACACCCTGGCCTGCTGTTCTTCACTGTCGTGGGATGAAGGCAGGGTGTAAGCGTGGCCCAGCAGGTATCAGTGGG